AATCCCAGCACTCAGGAGGCAGAGGCAGGCGGATCTCTATGAGTTCAAGGCCAGCCTGGTCTACAGAGCGAATTCCAGGACAGACTCCAAAACAATACAGTGAAACCCTGTCTCGGGGGGAAAAAAAACAAAAAACAAAAACAAGATTCTGTCCCATTCAACACTTTTGTTTTTCTGAGACAGGGTTTCTCTGTGTAGCCCCAGCTGTTCTGTAACTCGCTCTGTAGACCAGGCTGGCCTCGAACTTAACAGAGATCCACCTGCTTCTACCTCCTGAGTGCTGGGATTCAAGGTGTGCACCACCACCTCCAGGCTCTTCAACACTTGTAAAGGCTTTAGGGAGTGAGTTCATCTGTCCAGAGGAAGAGGCAGCCCAGAGAGGGAGAGTCAGTTTCTCAAAGCCACCCAGCCACAAACCATTATAATGCAAACCCAGCTCCACGTGGGAAGTGCACAGCCCATCATCCCAGGAAGAGGTCCATCTCACTCAACACCATGCCTCTGTGGTAGCAGAGAGGCTGGCAAACAACAGGCACTCAATATTTGCCGAAGGAGTGTCACAGGAGGACAGGTGTGTGGCAGGCAGCAGTCTGGGTTGCCGATGTTGCCCCGCAGCCCCACAGAGATGGGGTACCACTGTCCACGTTGTGTGTGTCGGGGATCAGGCCAGGAAGAGCCAGGCATGGAGGGAGAAACAGAGCAAGGGTAGAGCGGGGCCTGGCCCACCGCTGTAGCCCAGAGCCCCTTCTCTGGAGGGAGGGAGGGAAGGGGAGAGGGAGGGAGGGGGAGAGGGGGGATGGTAGCAGGAGCAACAGTGGCCACCACTGTTCCCAATTATACTAAAATCTCTTTGCCGTGGTTGTAAAGGTGGCTTGACCACTAGATGGCGCTAGAATTAGTCATTTGGGACAAAACTCAAAATGAGCTATTTTACTTCCTGCTCCCATCAAAAACACATTTCATAATGTACAGATTTAAAACTTTAAGAGATATCGAGAATACTCCAAAAACCCCTTCCAACCTACAGGTGAAAACGTGTTTAAAACTAGGACACAGAAAGAAAGATTTGGTAAAATTCTCTACTTTCTAGAAAATGTTGTTTGAACGTCTGCTAGGTACCATATAAGAGAGGTTATGAACAAAGTTAAAAAGTGAAAGTCAGTTTTGGAGAGGAACATGTCTACCAGTACCAACGCTCCTAATCCCAATATACAAAGAGCATCCACAAGTCAATAATCACTAAGTCCCAATGCGAACGGAGGAATGACACAAATGGTCAATCTGCAGAATATAATGAATGAGAACACACTGTGGGAAGGAGCACATAAAGAAGGTGGGGGGAGACCAACAAGGAGAAACAATGTCGTCTGTTCTGACCACAGGGCTCGTGATCAAGAAAAGGCTACAATGTATTTTCCGTCGCACATTTTTTTCTCTCTCATTCAAAGAACCCCGGAGCAACAGCACCGAGTCCTCAGCGCATGGGCAGCATGGGAAGGGGCTCAGGGCACGCAAGAACAGCCATAGGGACCATATACCAAGGCTGGAGTCTCACAGGGAGGAACCACACTCATGCTGGGAGGGCCCTGGTCACATGCAGGACTGAACACCACTCCCCAGAAGTTCACAGGGCAACACCATGAAGTTACAAACGGCAGTGTCTAGATTTTCTTTTCTTACACTTTCCTGTTGTCTGAGCTGTAAGTGTGTGTAAAGCAGAAGCCACGCTCTTCTTTTGTTTTTGTTTTTGTTTTTTTAGGCTTAGGCAGACACGTTAAAAAACCTGAAACCTGGCCAAGTAGCTCCCTGTCCCATAGACCCAGTAGCAAGGTCGCCCACAGCTTCCCCGGAGTCCTAGACAGGGGACAGCCTCATGGGACCCACAGCAGATGCTTGCAACCCTTGGACCCCCACAGACGATGGGATGTTCCTCCGAAACCCCCTCATGCATAGACCATCAAACTAACTCTCGTGCCAACTGGCCAGAAGGTTCTGTGACCTCTTTTCTAAGGACACAAAAGACCAGAGAGGGTTAGGCTCCTGTTCTGGCAAAGGTAACACAGCTCAATACACAGAGTTCCAACTACGCATGACTGCCAACACCATAGGAGGCGTCCCCCCACTGCACAAGGATGCTTCAGAGCAAGGAACCCCTGCAGGGAATTCTCAAGTCTTACACCCCAGTTTAGGTGGTCACTCACCGGTCTCACAGAAGACTCAGCAGTGTGTTCACGTGGCCCCTGGCCTCCCCGGCTCTCTCCTCCTCCTGCTCCCCTTTTATTTTTCCTGTGTTCTAGTTACCGGGTCCCCAGGTTCTCCTGCTGAGGCTGGGCCGGGTCCTCCCACGACTTGGCTTGTGCACAGTGAAGACATCAGCTATCAACAAGGCACGCTGAAGCCAGGGGGTTTAAATCAAGTCTTCCCTCACAACAATGACATTAATTACGCTTTTAACACATTTTACTGGGTTTTTTTTTCTCACTTCGTGCCACATCTGTGCGAACAATATCCAAAAGATTTACGGTTTTCTTCCGTAATTACAGATACACGGACTGCGCACTTATCAAAATAGTTGCTGAGCAATCAGCCCGCGTCTCGCTGCCTGCCAAGGGCTCGTGCTGGCAGCAGCCAGTCATTCAGACGGAAATGTTGAATCAGGACTTGGGTGGGGGGAACCGCGACAAATAATTTGCCTGTCAAGACACAGACCAACTGAGAGTCGGTGTATCCCTGCTGCGCAGGGGTGGGAAGTGTGTGTGTGTGTGTGTGTGTGTGTGTGTGTGTGTGTATACACGCGTATGCTCCGAGACCCCCAAACCCTCCAAATCTGACATTTGCTTCTCATGTCGGCGGATAACATTTAATGAGCACAAAAATACATCTTCCCGATTCCCCGAAGAAATCATTAAAACACTGTGTTATTCTTAAATGTCTCGAAAATGAATTAGTGCCCCTAAAGGGGCTGTTTGTGTGGCGCGTCTCCATCCGTTAAGGCTCCTCGTTTTCTAGCTCAGTGACAGCTGGGTTGTGGCACCCCTCCTTCACAGAAGGAGACCTGGGAAGGCCTGGAGTTAGTGCTGGGCTCCCCAGCCTCCCCATGACCTTTGAGTACCCAGGCTTTGGGGACAGGGTTAAGAGGCAATGAGGATTTTCTGGAAGGTTCCACTATAGTCTGGAGGCTCATGTGGCTCTTGGCTGAGCCCAGAAGTGAGATAAAACAGCCTGGGGTTCAGAAAACATGAGCCAAGAAATGAGGTGTCGTTTGCATGTGTGTCTTTGCATGTCTGCCTGGGTGCACATGCATGTGTGTGACGGGTGGTCAGCAGCCAGCCTTGGGTGCCCTTACCTGGGAGGCTTCTGCTTTGTTGAGACAGGCCTCAGTGTCCCGGAGCTCCTCAAACAGAGGCTACCTGTCCATGAGCCCCCAGAATCAGCCTGGGTCTGCCTCCCCAACATGGGGTTACCAGCATTCACCGCCACGCCCAGGATTTTATGTGGTGCTAGAGATGGGAACCAGGCAAGTGTTTTTATCAGCTGTCACCTATTTTATTTTGTTGTTGTTGAGACAGACTGTTGGGCTGGAGAGAAGGCTCAGCCATTAAAGGCTAGGCTCACAGCCAAAAACATAAGAGACAGAGTCTCACTGTGCAGCCCAGGCTAGCCTCAGCCTTCTGAGTGTGAACTACCGTACTCCACTTACAGCCTCATATCTGACCTGATTCAGGAAAGCCCCAGCGGTCAGAATGGCTGGTGCTCCCCCACAAGCTTAGTATGGCAGTCTACTGGAGCGGTGACCTGTGGCCCTGACATCTGTAGTATGAAGGACGGGTGTGGACCAACAAACTGGAAGGCAACAGGGACCGTGTACTTTTGGCCAAACATCCTCAAAAGGGCACACCTTGCCATGACCCACACCCAGGCAAGGACCAGTGCTGCATGGAGACCATCCCGCCAGGACCTCAGACACGGCCGACTTGCAGCAGCGAAAGGCTGCAGTGTTCATTCGGGGTGACGTTTGCCTCACTGGTGGCCTGTTGTCTAAGGAAACCCTCCAGTGGCATTCAGCTTACCTACAGAGCACCATGGCCTTACCTCCCTCAAGTTCTAGAATCTTCTCTACCCGGAAGGAAACCCTGTACCCTTCTCCTGGTCCCTGCAGTCTCTCATGGTGGATGTAGATGCCTGTTCAAGAGGTTTCCTTCGAACGCGGCCGCGTGCCGCCACAGCAGACACGGGCGCAGTCTTCCTCACAGCTCACTCATGTTCCAGTGTGGATGGAGCAGGATTTCGAAACCCTTCCATCTGATGACAGACACGGGCAGAGGTTGGCCCTGCCGCTGTGAGCTGACGACAGGGACGGTGGCGAGGGCTGGCCCTGACCGCTGTGAGCAGGTCAACGGACCCGTTCCTGGTTTGCTCACACTGCCTGTGAGGGGAACTACCAGTATTTGCTCTTCTGGGCCAGGTTTCCCCTCAGTACTGAGACTCTGAGGTCGGCTGTGGGAAAGGTGGCATTATTCCTCCATTACCTCCAGCTGGCAGAGTCACCTGCGGCCCTGGAAGGGGTCCCCTGGGGCAAGGCCCAGATGAGAAGATCCAGGTTGGCAGGTTGGCATCACATCAGAGCCATCCTCCCAGAGCAGAAATCAGGAGGAGGCATGAGAATACTTCATACAAGACTGGTTCTCTCTCTCTCTCTCTCTCTCTCTCTCTCTCTCTCTCTCTCTCTCTCTCTCTCTCTCTCTCTCTCTCTCTCTCTCTCTCTCACACACACACACACACTCTGTCTCTCTCTCTCTCTCACACACACACACACACTCTGTCTCTGTCTCTCTCTCACACACACACACTCCACCCCCCACCCAACCCCTGCCTGGCTTCTCCCTGGGCCCAGGCCTGTCCCCAGATCCCAACGCCAGGAAGCAACCTCGGTATCTGTGTCACCGCTCGCGGTGCTCCTCAGTGGTAATTATTCAATTACGGAGCCAAGAGCTTCTTACCTGGCGCTTCGATTAATTGCTTATAAACACTCAGGAGGGCTGCCTCTGCTTCCTGACTTCTCTTACTCAGGGCCACCACCTTTGGAAAGAAGAGAAAGTGTCACGTGTAGCCATGGCCCTGGACCCGTAAGGAGACCAGTGCCTTCCTGGGCAAAGCGGGGTAGAAGCTGGGGGGGGGGCAGTGGTTACAAGCTGAGGCTCCCATATTAAGGACTCTGAGTTCATAGCCCAGCTGCACTATGTCCAGGCTGTGTGACCTTGGACAAGTCACTGCCCTTCTCTGAGCCTCAGTTTCCTCATCAACAGAACGGGGATGGGGTGGCTAAATCATAATAGGCCCCCTTTTTCACCAGTTTGAAAGATGTAAACACAGCTTGAAAGGCAAACGATAGGTTATTAATCATACTGGCTATTAATCTTCAATGCTGTCGAGTTCAAGCATGACATGCTTTGGGAGACAGCGGGACATGACTGGCGAATCTTGTGTAACTTTTGTTAGTTCTCGGGAGACACTAACAGTTTCAGCCAACATCACAGAGTAATGGAGTTCATATGAAAGGTCCTGGTATACCGATGGTGCTCAATAAATGTTTCCTGACTGAACACACGACAGGCAACCGAGCGGCGAGGAGCTGTGCTCACCCCGTCCTTTTCTTACTCATGCTCTGTCAAGGTAGAAGACGCGTGTCCCCTGCACCGCGTGTCTAGGTGACTCTCGGAGGGCCGGCAGCTGTGGAACCCTTGCTTCCCATGTCAGACAGTGAAGTCCAGAGACCCTGATCCCAGCTCTGGCTGGCCAGTTGCAATGCAGAGTCCCGGGCTTTCATTCTGAGGCCCGTGCCTACCTAGCAGGCACCAACAGCAACCCCACATCTACAGGACCCTGGCTGGCTGGGCCACAGTAGGCAGCAGTGAGCCTTACGCTGCTGGTACCCTCCCAGCACCAACTTCCCGTGTGGTGGGGCGGGAGTGTAGCGGTCAGTCTGCTTTCTGTGCAGGCATAACTTCCCATAACTCTTAGCGGTGGAGTTAGGAGGGGCAAATCTGTGGCCAAGGCCTTCCCTTAAATGTAGCCCTCAGAGCTCTTTCTGGCACAAAGTCAGTGCCCAATACAACCGTTTTTTCCCGGAGGGGGGCAGGGCAGGGTCTTATGTAGCCCAGGCTGACCTCAAACTCAAGATGTAACTGAGGATAACCTTGAACTCCTGGTCTTCCTGCCCCACCTCCCAAGTACGCAGGTTACAGGACTGCAGTGCTGGGCATCGAACTCAGGGCTTCACGCATGTCAGGGTCACTGCAACTGAGCCCAGTCCATGAGTGCAGTTTATTGAGTAAACAAATTGAGTGTATTGCACCAACCCTAGTCCCCACCAAAATGTTGTCAGGGGCTCTTTTGCTTCCCAGGGGTGGAGGCCATTTCTGAGACAACCTGTCCAGAGAGGTGGACACCAGGGCCTCAAACCCCAGTTCTAGCGTGAGCTAGCTGAACACAAATGCTCTTAAATCCTCGTACCTCTATTTCCCCACTTGTAAAGGGGGGAAGCTAATAACACAACAATTCCTTCAAAGGGTTCTAGAGATGCAGGGTTTTAGCTCCAGGCACACCTGAAGCCTCACAGATACGTCTACTGCCAACGGTGACCGATTTCCGCCTTGACTCTGCCAATTCTGAATGAGAATCTCCCTTGTGTTTGTCTCTCCGGTGTTTCACGGAAACAGCCTAACCGAAAACCTGCCTTGCTGTGCATACTAGTGCATCGAGGGAGGGAGAATCTGAAAAAACACAGACAGTATAGAGATTCACTCTGTCCAATATGGCTGCCATGCTGACCAATATGACTGCCACACCCCCAACATGGCAGCCATGATGCCCAATATGACTGCTACACTGTCCAATATGACTCCTATGCTGCCCAATATGGCTGCCAAAGTCATGCACGGCTCCTGACCACTCGAACCAAAATCAAAACACACAACGAATGTGAAATACACACAGGAATTCAAAGACTTAGCATTAAAAAAAGGACAGCGCAGCTCACCACCATTTTAAAAACGGAGCTATACTCTGAAGTGATGATTCGAAGTCGTTTTTTTTTTTTTTTTTTACCATTTAACAGTGTGGTTACCAGAAAGTGTCAGATTCTGCCTGTGATCATTAGGTTTCTAGCTGACAGGGATGGTCCACAGGGGCCTCGTGGAATAGGAGGAGTCACGTTGGAGAAATGCACGGTCAGTGTCAAACACGGAGTTAGAAGGCCAGGTTCACCCCTCACTGCTCTCCTGAGAAGGGACTCTTGTCTCTGGCCCCCCAGAGTGACAGTTCTTTATTTACTCAACTAGCATTTTGCAAGAGTCCCTGCTATGCGCCCAGTATTGAGGACTAACAATAGTCGCAAACCGGAGGGGATGTGGACCTCAAGGCAATTCCCCAGATGACTTGTTAATTACAAGCACGAAAGGTTTGGAAGGAGAAGCATGGGGTGGGGAGTGGGGAGGCTGGCAGAGGGGGGAGTGGGGGAAGGCTGACCCAGTTTGGTGGTGGGACTCAGCGAATCCCCATCTCTCCCTGAGCAGGGAAATGTGCTGGGGGCAGGAAAGGACAGGAAGGGATGTGACAATGGAGTCACCCAACACAGGTGGATCGCCACCCTTCCAAGGTAGACTCCTGCAAGCGCAGGGAGCCGCAGCAGGGAGCTGCAGCAGGGAGGTTGTGCAATGCCACAAATCTTGGAAGTGTTGGGAGGCGGTGAGTTTGGGAGTGTCCCCAAGGGGACAGCAATGACAGTAAAATACCGAGGCAAACTACATACTCTTGTTTGTGAGCATTCAAAGACACAGCAAGTCTCCCAGTTACCTCCACCACTGTCTGACCGTGTGGGCAAGCAAACGAGAAGGCAGGAGCTCCAGGCAAGGGGGCGGTCAGTTTGATCCCTCTGGCTGCTGCCGTCTCCCAGGGTCCCGCAGCTGCTTGTGGTTAGAAGCTGTTGCACTACTGACACATGGCTCATGGAAGCCACAGAGGCGACACTTCACTGCCTCTCTGCTATGAAGATACATACATACATACATACATACATACATACATACATACATACATACATACACACACATACACATACATACATATATACATATACACATACATACATGTACACATGCACATATCCAGACACTCTGGTTCCTAGCCGTCTGTGCTGAACGCAGTCCTGGCTGGCTTTGCAGGAGGGTGAGACTGTTCCCATGAATTGTAAAAGCAGGTATGGGGACAAGGGCTGGTTGAGTCCTCTATAGCTACCCCTGTCTCATCCACGGTGCCTACCAGTTTGTAGTGGTGTCTTTATCTCAGAGATTGTCTTCCTATAATGTCCCCAAGAGCTGAGCTGTCCAATACACTCACCACCATCCATGCACCACCCACCACTTAGAAGTGGCCATTCCAGTGCCTTTAATCCACAAGCCTTGACCCTGAAGCTTGGCAGGAAGAAGGCTGTGTGACCAGCTCGTGGCTATGCCTGGTCACAAGGAAGGGTAGAAGTATCTAGATTGGGCTTGTGACAGTAGCAATCTGGAGGCCACATGGGCAACATAGATACAGCCGTGGCCAGCCACACACCTCACAGAAGTTCGCTATTAGGAGCATCAATAGCAGCCGCTTGCATGGCCTGCTATGCGGGAACCTGACAAGACCTCTGGCAGTGAATTCAGGGTTCCTCCAGTCTATGCCTCCCCATCTGGATTTTACATGGGTGCTAGAGATTTGAACTCGGCTCCTCATGCTTCTACAGCAAGCACTCTTTAACCACCGAGCTGTCTCCCCGGTTCTTGAAGGCCTTCCCTGCATTAATTCCAACCATCCAGGCAGGCATCAGCACCTCTGTACCCCTCCCATCACATGTCACGGTCACCAGGCAGTGATGCAAGGCCTAAGGGGGATGTCTGCTGGGACGGGAGGAACCACTGGACATTTCATTGCCATATTTATTAGCCCCAGGTTAAAAATAAAGCAGAAGGACATGCTTTCAAATGTTGGCACTAAGGACGCTTTTCAGGCAATGCAATGTGGACCCCAATTTGTTTATGCCAGGCTCTGGGGACCCCCATGTAGCTCAGCAGACCAGTGGCCATGGTCACTATTAACTATGATGTAATCACCAATTACTTCAAACAGGAACTCCTGATTTCCTAATTAAATAGTCAAGCTGAACTTCTCGATTCATTGGGGGGGAGGGGAGGGGTGGGGGTGGGGGATGCAGACTCCCTCAGCTCTCCTTGCTCCACCCACCTTTTTGGCCCCCCCACGCCCCATTTTGGGGTGAAAAAATCCCCTGGCCTCCATATGACTGCATTTAAATTGCCTGTCACTCAAAACAAAGGCGAAGCGCTCATTTGTAATGCGCCAGCCACCTGAATGCAGCCGGTTTTCCTCCAAGCCTCCATGCATCGGAGCGCAAAGATCATTTTTCTATTGTTAAAATTGTATAAGCCGGGGGCTTTTTTTAGCAGCGAAATACACGATTTCACTTCTCTGCTGAGGGCTGCCGGCATAAAAGGGACAGGAGGCTTCCTTTAGCACCTTACAAATAAATTTTGCTTTGGGGGTAATCAAAAGAAAGAAAGAAAGAAGAAAAGACGAGCAATAAAAAGAAAAAGAAGGAAAGAAAGAGACTGGCCCTGGGCAGGGAGAAGGCGCCGGGAATTCCTCAAGGCATATCTAGACAGGAGGGTGGGGGGCTTCCTGCTGTGCTAGGCCCCGAGGGTGAAGCAGGATCCTTGTCAAGTGTGCAGAGAAGCATCTAAGACCTGGAGCCCTGTTTGGGTGCCCTTGGTTGGGTGACCCTGACTCAGTGCCAGTTGGCAGAGGCCTGCGGGCCCTGCCACTTTAAAAGCTTAAGTGGCCACTCAGAGTATGACCTTGCTCCTGCACCCACAGTGACTCTCCAACCACCTCACCCCAGGAGGTGAATTCACAGACAACTGTCCCCAAGCCCCTTGGTTATCTTCTGGGTCAGCCTTGGGCTAGTCCTCTATTTTTCTCTATGGAATTATAATCATAATGCTTTGCAATTTTATGGACTTCTG